GTTGTAAATAACTATGTTGTAGATTCCGATGCTGCTTATGGCATATTAGGCAATTTAGTCTTTCTGCTGACGAAAAGTAAAAAGTCTGAACAAAATATAAGAAAATGTTTGCCTAAAAACCAAGTGTTACCAATATAGTGAGTCATTAGTGGACCAAAATGCAAGAGAAGAGAGTCCAGAGAGGGAGGCCAGCATTGTTTGGGACTACTTTGCCTGGGGAGTGTTTTGTTTGCTCGCCTAGAAGAAGCAGCTGAGTGGCAGAGCCTAACATTTGACATACTTTCAAGACAAGAAGTACAGGAGAAACAATCTAAATTGAAGCAAGGAGAGAAGAAGGGTGGAAAATAGACATAAGGCAAGGGAACTACTGGATTCAATAAGAAAGTCCTATGTTTATTTGAGTCCTAGAAAAAGGAGGTGAACATGAAGTTACAAGTTCAATAAGTTCAGTAAATTCCAAGCAATATAAATAAAAAGAAACATATCCAGATGCATCATAATGAAACTGCTGAAAATTCGAGACAAAGGGGAAAACAATCCTGAATCCAGAAGACAACTTTAACAGTAGCAATAATTAACTGGTAGCTGACTTCTTCACAAAAATAATGGAGGCCAGAAGATAGTGGAATATCTTCAAAAACTTGTAAGAAAACAACTGAGTCAGAGTTCCAAATTCAGTGAGACTACCATTTAGGAATGGAAGCGAAACAGATAATTTCAGATAAAACTAGAGAGTTCACTTCCAGGTGGCCCTAGAATAATGGCAGCTATCTAAATCTTTCCATTCATTCTCCAAAAAGTATTCAAATCAACAATAAGAGCAAATGAAACCACATCTAACTCATACTTTTAGCATAACTAGAAAGAGAACACTACTAACTACAAATTTTCTGTAAATGGAAAATTCACTCAATTATGACAGGCTAATCTCAAGCTTCTACCACCGCAAGTCTTTGTAGAGAGTGGCAGTGGAAACGACAGGAATCCAAAAAGACTGGAAAAGATATAAGAGAACAGAAGGCTGAAGGGTGAGCTGAAATCCCCTCTAGGGAAATAGAATGTCTACTGTAAACATAAAAGTAATCAAGGGATCTGGTCGGTCTGAGCACTGGCGGCAGATAAGGCATTTGAGGCTTTGCAGGGGGCCTTGTGGGAGCAGCAAGGAACAGGGTCCATTCCTCCTGCAGCTAAGAAAATGTCTCTGAACAGGAATTACCTTATAGATTGGCTATATAGAGGAATATTGAATATTTGGAGGCTTTGCAGCCCAAAGAACTTTCCATCTGGACCTGGAATTTTTCCATTTAAGATTCATACCCTTGGGCCTGATTTTCTGAAGACTCCATTAAAATGCAAATGCCTGTAGTATCCCAATAGTGCACCCTGATCAATCTTTTAAATGTAAGATTTGCCAGGCAGCTTGTAAGAAGACGGCTTTAATGAATAGAACACAAAAGCAGTGCTTACAAGGGCAGTGAGGAGTGCTGGTGGGAGGAGCAGGAGTGGGGACGGGTCTGCAGGAGGAAGTGACGGGATGCTAGAGAAAAACTTGGCCCATATCATAATTTTGCTTAAGGTCAACACTGTTTCATAATTTTCCATCGCCTGTTCCCAGGATTACTGGGCTATAGATTTTCACCTCTGGAGAAAGGTTTGCATGCCAGCTCCTCTCTCCCCATAAGTTTCTGTTTTGTCTTTTAAGTTGTGATAGATACCAGCTTTACCAGCTTCAACAGTTTTCCTCAGTTCCTTACCTACTTCAATTAATTATGCTGGAGTATAAGTATA